TGCCCTAGATAAGCTGACAAAGGAACAAATGGGTATTACAACCAGTCTCACGGAAAGTGAGGAGAAGCTGGAATCGTTGTCGGTTTTACTTGATAAGCTGAAGAACAGAAGTTCTGCGATTGCTATCCTCGATCCTCACGGTAAGGATTTAGAACCTAGCCACAGTACAGTTCAGACATCCGAACAACCACTAAAATGATTTTCAATGTCATAGCGAAAGTTGCAGGTCAGTTTCAGCATTGGTTACTGTCGAAAAATACTTTGATATTACTGAATGATAAAAACAAGCAACTCCAGAAGTGGAAAAAGTTGCGTGCATGTCGACTTGTGAAAAAATCCACAAAGGCGAAAGACCGGGCCGCGAATTTTTGCAAAGTGTGAAATTGTTGGAGGCCTGACGCACTGATCCACCGATAGATTACATATTGTAGTCAAATCCTTGGCTCTGCAATTGCACCTAATATGAACTCGGAAGGAAGATATCGACGCTGGCTGATATTAATAGCATACGCGTGGTATTTAAATTTTTTACTGGTGGATTCACGGCCCATTTTATGAATGTGAAGTAGCGTTACCAGTTGCTGCGGCCCTAGTAGGGGATGAGACGGGCATCAGATGAGGTAAGAAATCTTCTGCGGGAGGAAGAAAGGTTGTTTTTACAAATAAAGATCTGGAAGCCTAATATACAGTCTGCTAGGAAAACCGGTTCAAAATGCTAGTGTAAAAGAGAAATTCTGTTAATAGGGGTTTTATGGGTGAGGTATAAGGGGAAAGCGTAGAAAAACCTGGGGTTAAATACACAGAGACACGACCGCATCAACTAAGCAGTTGGATTAGAGGTAGTAATTAAGCATCCTTTGTCTGGCCAGAAAACGTGCAGAAGCCGAAGGGCCATTCCTACTCCAATCAGGTGACCAAACTGAATCGCCCGGGTCATTACCCGTCCTGCCTGAGGCCAAAGTGACTCTTTTACAGCAACTCAGTTTGTTGCGATTGCCAGAATGCCTAGGGAAAATAACTTCAGCAGCAATGTGAAAAAGAATTAACACAGTTGACCCAGACGTTTAGGCTTCCATCGATGAATCTTTTAGACATGCTTGACATATTTGCGGAAATCAATCCCGATTGTTAGTATTCTGGACGTCGAACCAATAATAATGCGTATCCTGAAATCGTCCTTCTTCTTCTTCTTCACTAACAAAGTGGTCGACACGAAACTTAAAACTGTGCCAAATGCCCATCGAAACGGTTGAGCGAATCGGTCCTCTAAAGTTAAATTGAAGATTTGAATACATCTGTGGTTAAAATCCACATAACCGAGTTTACTTATATCGCTCACTAACCGAAATTAATAGGTAGTTTTTGTGAACTAACACCACAGTACACTCGTCTGCACAGATGGCAGACACTTTCTGATGTTTTAGTTTTACTCCCCTGCAAATGGTCTTTGTTCTTTCACGAGGGCGTCTTGCATCCCCTCCTTATTTCTTTTAAACAGGCGCCTATGCAGCTGTTTTGGCGGCTCGTGAGGAAGTAAACCGACTGGATGACACACAGAGGAGCCTTCAGAAACGACGAA